AATTTCGGGGCTATTCTTAGGATCAAGGAATTCAGTAAGCCACAATTTAGGAACAATCATTTAAGCCTATGAAAAGAGTAGACATGGTGTACAACTAAGCTAAACCGCCACGACACATTTGTGCTTTGACGTATACTTGAAGTACGCGAAGGACTAAAGCTAATTTTTGCAATAGCCTTCAAGTTCATTTAATTAAGTTCAGTTTTCCTTGTAATGTTGGTACGAGAACGCCATTTCTTTCGAAAGATACCCAATTCTCATCTTATTGTGCGAACACTTATGCTTTTTGACTGGGGCTCCCGTTCTCTTTTTTCGTAAGGTAAGAGGTCTAGCTATTGATTAATTTTTTCAATTTTCAAATTTTTACTAGACATTACCTCATTCTAATCTCGGCCTCACCAAAGTGAATCCATGCCTACAATGCAATCCTCGAAAGTATCAAATTCCTAAAATGTGACCGCTCTTACCCCATTTTGGGCATTGGAATAGTGGCAGAAGTGGCTCCTACAAAAATTCCCTAAACTTAGCAAATTAATCCCCTAGTTCCCTAAACACCAATACTTTATCAGAAATATTCATGGGAAGGAAACACAGGCCATTTAGCTATGGAGCTTAATCAATCGGGTAAAAAACAAAATGGTCAGGCTCAAAGTGGCTTCTCCTAAAGGATTTATTCAGGTAAAATGGGGGATTTATGATTCAATGGGTGACTTAAGCCTAAGCACTTCAAGAATGTTCTAAAAGCATAATCAAAACACTAGCCAGCTCACAAAGGCACAGTTCAAAGAAAAAATTTCAAAAAAATTTGGCATGACTTTCCTATGAATATACAACTAACACATGTGCATGTTAATTCTAGTAAGCCCATGTAACAACTACTGCTCGAATGCTCAATACTCCCCCACATATTTTGTGTGTGGATAAAGGGTAAGTATATATATCGTCCAAAAGAGTTTATGTACATAAAAAAATAGGGAACAAAAAGGGCTATCCTAAGTATGGATAACCCATCACCTCAAAAAAGACTATAAACAATAAGCACACATTGCCGAACACAAATAAAAGGTGATGGGCCATATCTAACACACCAAAGTATCAAAAGGTGATTAGCTCATATGAGTATATATTATAAAGGATCTTATACACCATGTATTGGATCCGAGCAAAAACATCCTCCACTTTGAATGTGGTGTCGTCAAATATGGTTGCGTTTCTGACCCTCCACATCCAATAAACTGTGTAGGTGAATGCAATCCGGACTGCTTTAGCTTTGATTCCCGCCCCTCTATGATCTCTCTTGATCCATTTCACCGAGCTATCCAAGGTAGTCATCTGTCTATACAATCCCATCCATGTGCGCACTTTAGTCCAAATAGTCCCTGAAAGTTGACGCCCAAAGAATAGGTGTGCTACCGTTTCCGGTTCACCCTTACAAAAAGGACATATGTTAATCACATCAAGCCTACCTAAATTATCACACGTTGCAAGGCGGTTCAGAAAAGCAAACCAAGCAATGAATGAGAATTTAGGTGGTATGTAGGCTTTCCAAATGAAAGGCATCCAAACCTGTTTGGTGCCTTTGATCCTAATCAAATCATATACTTTTGAAGAGCAAATCTTACCATTGGTAACAAATTGAGATAGGCCGACAATTGTGGCATCAATTGTATCAAATTTAGCCAAAAGTGTGTCTCGGATTAAGGCAATCTTCTCCATCATTTGTGAGTCCCTGGTGTGTGGGAAATACTCCCACACGTTTCTACCCTTAAGATAGACCCCATGCACCCATTTGACTCAAAGTGTGTCGCTCTTTAAATGGATATCCCAAAGAGTTTTAGATAACAAGGCATTGTTCCATGTTTTGGTGTGTCTAATTCCCAAGACACCTCTTCTTTTGGGAGGCACATATCTGTCCAAGCCACCCTTGCAAATTTGCACCCCCAAAAGAAGATACGGCATAGGGCAGTCACCCTATAAAGGATGGCTTGCGGAATTGGAAACACTTGTAACCAAAAACAGTGTACACCTTGAATAACAAATTTAATCAATTCAGTTCTACCTGCATATGAAAGCGTTTTAGTATTCTAAAAGTTAAGGTAGTTGGAGACCTTATCTAAAAGGGGGGCATATTGTGCCACCGAAAGTTTAAGAGGGGATAAGGGGATCCCGAGGTATTTTACAGGGAAGGCACCAACTCTGAAATCAACCAAATCCATAATAGCCGTGAATTCGTTATTCTTAACACCTCCCAATTTTTTTTTTTTGATTTATCAAATTTAACCCTCAAACCCGATACATTACCAAAATCATTCAGAGCATCAACTAAAATCTTGATGGAATAGGTGTCCCCTCTACAAAAAAGCATGAGATCATCAGCATAGGCCAGGTGATATCTTAAGATTACCACATTTGGGATGGAAGTTAAACTCAAAAGTAGTTCTCAGATTAAGCAATCTGGACAAATATTCTAAGCATAAAATAAACAAAAGTGGAGACATGGGGTCCCCCTGTCTAAGCCCCCTCTTCCCAGAAAAGAAACCATGCAACACCCCATTTAGAGAAATGGAGAAAGATGTTGTAGTCACACATTCCTTATATCTGCAGTCGTAGGGGAATGAGTGGTCTTAGGGATCAAGGCAATAACCGTGTGGTTAATTTGCTTTAAAATCCTGCCGGACTCAACGAAATCCTTCACAGCCTCAATGACATCATCACCAACAATAGCCTAATTGGCTTTAGAAAAGCAGAAGTGAAACCGTCTGGCCCCGGGGCCTTGTCATCCCCTATATCAAACAAAGCATTTTTTAATCTCCATGTCTAGAATGGGAGCAACCAGCCTAAGGCCTGATCCATATCTAGACATGTCCTAGACTCAATGATGCCGGTTTCAATAGGAGGACAACTTACCGGAGTACCAAATAAGTCGACGTAAAACCTTTCTAATTCGGTAGCCACTTGATCCATAGAGGTAGTGAGGGCACCATTAGGGAGCTTTAGGGCCGTAATGGAATTTTGTGCAGCCCTCTTCCTAACAATAGAATGGAAGTATTTCGTACATCTATGCCCATGGAACAAGTGTGTAGCCTTTGCTTTTTGCCTAAAGAAAGCATCCTCGGCTTCCTTAAGAAACAAAACCCTCTTTTTAGCTAGTTTTAGGTCATTTTTCAAAGTATTATCTAGAGGAGAGAGTAGGGAAAGGTTATGTAACCTCTTAAACTCCACCTTAGAGTCCTTTACCTTATTAGAAATATGACCAAAAGCTAGCTTGTTAAGTTCCTTGAGTGGTTTCTTGAGGCTTTGAAGTTTCTTAACCAACATAAATTGAGCACTTCCACCATAGAACTTAAATTAAACCAAAAGTTTTGTAGAATAGTTGAAAAAGATTCATGATTAAGCCACATATTGAAGAACTTAAACAGTTTAGACCCTGGGGAGGGGTTATGGCCGAAAGTCACCAAAGGGGCAACATGATCAAATTCAACTTCCATTTCACAAAAGTGGGTTTTACATGCAATACCATTTGAACTCCAAGAAGGATTCATCAAAACTCTATCTAATTTAGCCTAAAGTGACCCCCTATTCCATGTGAAGAACTCACCGGTGGAAGGAGTATCAACAAGATTGGCATTAATTTTAAAATCAATTAAGTCTTGAAGAAGGTAACCCAAAGGGGGTGTAGGCCCCACCCTCTCATTAGGACTACATACACAATTGAAATCCCCCATTACTAGCCAAGGGCTATCAATGTTTGATCCCAAATTGACAATGTGTTCCCAAAGAGCTCTTCTTCCCCCCACCTTGTACAAAGCATAAACAAATGTAATCATAAATGATGTTTAGGTGATCTTACACACACATTCACAATGTAGGTGTTGTTTGTCCACCTCAAGCACACTTAAATCAACAAAGGAAGTATCCCGCATTAAATTAAAGCAATTCGGCCACTCTCAATTAAATCAAAGTTAGTGGTAGAAGACTGCACGTCAAAATAATAATACAATACAATAATTATACGTAGTATAATGAAGTAAAGTTCGTATCCACAGGGAAAGGAATATTTCTCTTTTTAATTAACTAGTAACAAAAGGGGGGGTTTAGGTTTGAGTGATTTAATTTAAAATTGAACACGAAGATGAACGAGTTATGTGGTTTAATTAATGAGAAGGAGACTTGGCTTTGCTTTTATCCACTTAATGAAATGTTCGTCGATCCCGGTTATATCTTTAACTATCTTCCTCTCGAATACTCAATCGAGGAGTATATCCAATTCATCGAGGGTAGTTATTAATAACGAGACGCGTTCATTAATAAAACTTACTACCGAGTTAATATAGAACACGCGCCGTATATTCACTCGATAGTAGCAATAAAATCAAGATGAAAACGATTGAGATTGATAACCTCAACACAAGCGGTTTATTGGTTTAATCAATATAATTAATTCCCCTTGGTTTATTAACCATGAAACGCATGCATTAATAACCCAAGTTTACTACCGCGAAAGGACAGAATTAATAACAAGCGTATTAATCGACCGATTCTAGTAATAATTAATATATGAAACAAAACTAGTTGATCCTTTAAGTAATGTTCAAAATATTAATATGAAATATGAATAGGAATTAATTAATACTCAAGGAAGAATATTAAAGAAGATGAATCCTACTATAGTTAATATCAAGATGTTAACTAATTGTCATCTTAGTAACACTCCCCAATATTAACATAGAGGAAGAAATAGCTATTACTATAACTAATGTCAAGATGTTAACTAATTGTCATCTTAGTAACACTCCCCAACATTGATATAGAAATAGTATTTAAAGGAAGAATTAATATTCAAGGAAGAAGATTAAAGAGAATAACTCACAACTTACAAATTCATTAAGCTTCAAAGTAGCAAAACCAAGATGGAAGAGTTTAGCTCCTCATTTGGAGACTAAACATGATAGAAAATATAAAGAAAACACTAATCTAAACTGAGCTAAAGAGTATATGTGAATTGGTGATTTTATTGTGAAGGAAAGGGGTGTATTTATAGGCTTTTGGGAGCTGCAGGGTCTGATACCCGACCGGGTATATAGGATACCCGACCGGGTATCTCAGGAAATTGCCCAGAAAGTGATTTTTCTGGGCATACCCGATCGGGTAAGGGTATATACCCGATCGGGTATGTGACAAATCTTTATGAAAATTTGCTCCCACGATCATTTGTCTTCGGATTTGATTTGGACAATCGAATCAAGCAATTACCCGATCGGGTATAGGCAATACCCGACCGGGTACATGAGTATTTTTTCCAAATCGAAATCTTTCTTGTCTCCTTGCACTTTCCTTGATCTTTTAAGGTCCAATCTTGATCCCTTAGATGATCTTTGACCTGTTTAGCTCAGAAAAATCCTAATCTAACTAAATTACAAATAAAAAATGAAAATAAAGTATTACACCAAAAGTGTGTAATTTTCACAACTAGAACTAATAAAAACTAGTTAAAAATACAAATATACAATTGGAAATTACATGAATATCAAAGACCAAAGAGGCCATCTACACATTCTAAGCTTATCGAAATTAGGGGTAGACATCTTAGTTTCAAGTAAACAACATATATGTACATTATGAACACGAATAAAATTAAAGATAGAAGTTTGTTTGGAGACCTTGTTAAGGCCTCTAATATTCCAAGTCGTAATGATCATTAAATGGTTGGGGGTGCCTCCATCATCCACCTTCTTCTTCTTTGTTCCATTCCACGGCCTTCTTTTCCAAGTGTTTCCTTGTAGCACATTATCACCGAAGTACCTACCTAGGAAAAGATGGTGAATATTACGCATAAAAAGAGTCAAAGGCATACCTATCCTCTCGTATGATGACCCCGAGCAGATTTTCAAGAGATGCTTTGTTGAATGTTATCCCAGTTTGTCCAACTCATAGGTCACGGATAAACAGTTGTCAAGTCTAACTAGTTTAGTATTCGGCCCCAAGTCATTCATGTGAGTTGTATATAGGTCTGGTGGCTTCCCCTCTTTAAAATCAACTTTGAACACTACATCGTCATGGTACCCCTCACGGATATCATTAATGACTATGGCATCCAAATTTTCCATGATATATTCTTCATCCACCCTCTTGTTTATCATCTCGGACAACTTCCTTATTGGTGTTAGGTGTGCCCACTTCTTTATTATGTGTGGGCTGGATTAGTTTTGCAAGTTCCTCTTCAAGCTCTTTTTCCTCTTCCCGAGATGTAGTCTTCTCATTGGTGGGTGGGATGATGGTCAAGGCTAATAGGTTAAGTTCCACCATAGGAGTATACTCCTCAATGATTTCCCCTCTTCCCTTTCCAAGCTTTTAGACATGGGTTTGGCATTTTCTTTGATGTTAGATACCAAGTTTGGTTCTTGTCGGTGGTAGGTTGACTAAGGACCAAGTTTGGTTCTTGTCAAGTGAATCTAACTCATCCTCCATGGCCTTCTTCCACTGTATGGAATCTTTCACGGTCAGTGCCTCTGAGTAAGATTCTGGCTCTCCATTCTCGGTCAGCAACATGTAATTTGCTTAAGGAGAATATCTGTTAGGAGGTCTTCTGTTTCTAGTGGACTGTCTAATGTGTAGAGTAGCTGCCTCTGAACTCCCACTATCTTCAGAAATTCCTGTATCTCCTGAGCTCCCACTGCTCCCTGAGCGTCCAGTCATCTCATCACAACCAACAGGTTGTGCTATGTCATCTTCAGTCATCCCGTCAAACACCACTTGTTGTTTGTTTTCTGGTTGCTTGGCTTTGCTAGTTTCTGCTGCAAGACCATCTTTATACAGGGCATTCTCGTTGAAGGTGACATCTCTACTTCTGATAACCTTCTTGCTGTGGTTGTCCCAGAACCTGTAGCCCATGTCATCCAACCCGTACCAAATAAAGATACATTTCTTTGCCTTTTCCTCGAGCTTGTCACTATCTGCATCTTTAACTTTGACATAAGAAATACAACCAAAAACTTTCAAGTGAGTAAGAGATACCTCTCGACCTTTCCATTCCTCTTCTGGAATTTTGAAACCTATGGGAGATGAGGGTCCTCTGTTGATCAAGTATGCTGCTGTGTTCACCGCATCGGCCCAGAACATCTTTGGGAGTCCTGCATGCAATCTCATGCTCCTGGCCCTCTCATTCAGTGTTCTGTTCATTCTCTCTGCAACACCATTTTGTTGTGGTGTTTCTGGAACCGTCTTCAGCATTCTGATCCCCTGTTCAGCACAATACTCTACAAACTCTGTGCTACTGTACTCACCCCCATTATCACTCTTTAAACACTTAATCTTGAGATTTGTTTCATTCTCAACTGTAGCTTTGAACTTCTTAAAAGTGTTAAAGACATCAGATTTATTCTTAAGAAAATAAACCCATACCTTCCGTGTAGAGTCATCAATGAATGTAACATAGTAGCGGGAACCTCCAATTGAAGAAACCTTTGTAGGTCCGTAGACATGTGAATGAATCAGCTCCAACCTTTCTGTATTGGGTGATTGTCCCGTCTTCACAAAGGTTACTCTCTTTTGTTTGCCAAGTACACATGGCTCACAAAAGTTCAACTTTGAATTCTTCAAATCTGGGATTTTGCCCTTTGAAGACAACATCTTCATTCCGTTCTCACTTATGTGCCCAATTCTTTGGTGCCACAAAGTAGAGACCAATGTATCTTCAACTGCTGCGTTTGCTTCATCTGTGGACACTTCAACCATGTACAGTGTACCATGCTTCTGTCCACGGGCAATGATCAGCTTTCCCCTTGTCACTTTCCATTGCTTGTTGCCAAAACTAACGTTATGGCCTTCCTCATCAAGCTGTCCCACTGAGATCAACATCTTCTTCAGGTCTGGAATATACCTCACATCTTTCAACCTCCAGGTTGTACCCAAAGTGGTACTGAGATCAACATCCCCAATACCCGTGATCTCCAGGGATTTGTCATCCGCGAAACGAACTCTTCCGTTGTAGGGCCTGAAATTTTTCATCAAATCCCTGCAATGGCAAACATGAAACGACGCACCTGAATCCATGATCCAGGACTCAATTGAATTCTCAACGCTGCAAATTAGAACATCTTCATAGTCCTCTGCCACGTTCACCTCCTTCTTGCCTTTGTCTACAGAGGCTTTTGGGCACTGATTTCTGAAGTGTCCATTCTCCTTGCAATTCTAACAATTGGTGTCCTTCCTATTCTTGGATTGACCTCTCTTTCTCGACTTTGATCTTCCTTTCTTGTTACCCCCTCTAGTGGATTTTCTGCCCCTATCTTCAATTCAGTACATACTCAACAAATTGTTGGAGCTATCCCCCGAACTCCTCCTCCGGATATCCTCACCAAGGATTAAGTCACGAATACCTTCAAAGGTAAGCTTAGTGGTTCCAGCCGAACTACTAACTGCTGTGACTGTACCGGACCAACTATCGGGCAAAGATGATAGCAAAAGTAATGCTTGAACTTCATCGTCAAATTTAATCTCAACCGAACCTAACCTGGATATGATTGAATTAAACTCATTGACGTGATCTGTCACGGCTGCACCATCCTTCATCCTTGTGTTCACCAATTGTCTGATTAAGAAAACCTTGTTGGCCGCTGAGGGTTTCTCGTACATGTTGGATAACGCCTTGAGCAGTCCAAACGTTGTTTTCTCGTTGACGATGTTGTAAGCAACGTTTTTCGCTAACGACAACCTCACCACTCCAAGGGCTTGTCGATCCAACAAGTTCCATTCCGCCTCCGCCATCGATTCTGGTTTGTTTTCAGACAAGGGTAGATGAAGCTTCTTCTGGTAGAGATAATCCTCGATCTGCATCTTCCAGAAAGCGAAATCTTGACCATCAAATTTACTGATCTTAACCTTCCCTTCGTCAGCCATAGCTCTGATACCAATTGTTACGATTAGGTTAAGTAAAACGATAAATAAATTAAAGAACAAGAACACAAGAATTTACGTGGTTCACAGAATCGGTGTGATTCTGCTAGTCCACGGCGAACGAGAGAGAGATGAGTATTATTATGTCGGCGTAAAAGGTTTACAAGTACATTAGGGTGTTTAAATAGGTTTAAGAAGACCTAAATACAGATTAGAGCCGCAGGCCCTGATTAAGCCCACAAATTAAAAAATCCGTCCCGTATACCCGGTCTGGTACCCTCCTTTACCCGGTCGGGTATCTTCTCAGAAAGCTTACCCGGGTCGATACCTGGACGGGTAACCAAAACAGAAGCTAAAACCTTCACTGACCCGGTCGGGTACGTCTCCTGACCCGGTCGGGTCTCACGTTCCAGTGAGTTCCCAAGTCTGGGCTTCAACATACCCGATCAGGTAGACCACATATACCCGATCGGGTTTCCATTCCAGAAAGTTGCCCGGCCAAAATCACCATCAAACCTGATTTAAAAGCTGCTCTAATAATCTGAACAAGACTCCATCTTCAATATGGTACAGTGGAAGATCAGAGAGAAAGCTAAGGAGGCGTATTTGCACAGTTCTATCAAAGAACGAAAATGCTTGTTTAGGGTAAGATTAGGGAAATATATTTTATCTTACGTTCATATTTGACATTCTCTTATTAAATGTTGAGTAATTATTCAACTTTTATATATCCAGTTATTGGATGTTGAAAAATCTATAAGTTTTCAATATTCAATAAGTGATGACACATAGATCAGGAAAAAACTATTGGTACTGACTTTTTGTACACATTCTGTGTACACCCTTTAGTTGTCTGCTTGCACAGGCAATTCGTTAAGAAACTGCCTGCCTTGTATATAGACAACTGGGAAGGATGTACACATAATGTGTATAATAAGTGTGTACATCAAGCAACTCCCCATAGATTATGCACAAAAAATGCAGGCCTAGACTTATTGAAACATTTTCATAATAGTAATTTGAACATGATAAAATTGATCCAATTACCCAAACATTATTGGGTAGATGATAGATAAATGAATCGAGTCACTAATTAATGACTTTGAAAGGAAATTGGTAAATTTTTTGGAACAAAGAAGGGAAAGTTCCCGAAATAAAACTAAGCATGTTTCAGAATTCCAAAATAGGACTACTATATCTTACTTTCCGAAATAGAAGCAAATGACAGTATTTATTGTTATCTTGTACTCATTACTGCCAAATAATTACAGTAATATATATTAAACATATCAATATTTACTATCATTAATGACAATATTTTTCAATCATGAATATAGTTTTCAATTATGACAGTAATGACTTCTATTTCGGAAAGATACACACAACGGTCTCATTTTGAAATTACAATACTTATTTACTCCTATTTAAAGCAATTTCCAAAAAAGAAAGAAAGTTGGTATAATTGGGGTGATTAGTAACACATTCATCTATTCGATAAGATTTTAAACATTGTTAATGCATCAAATCCATGATCTTTACTGTTTATTAATAGATTGATTCTTTTTTTTTTTTACTCTAAGGGGGTCTGGGGGAGGGGGCCTGGAGTAATCAGGGCTGAAACTCAGCCCATTGAGTTTCAAATCCTTATGTGCCTCGTGGGTTTCGAACTCGAGAGCTCTCACTAGGCACGGTAACCTCACAACCAGTTGGGTGGAATGCTTGGTTAATAATAGTTTGATTCATTATAGGCTAATATAATTATAATTCATATATAAAATACCCGATATCACAAATGGCTTATTAATTATTTAATCAATAATTGATTTTAAAGCCTACTTGGATAATCAGTAATTTGCTTGTCTAGTCTGTTCTATTTAAGTCTGGTCTAGTCTTGTCTGAACTGATATGGTCTGATTTAGTAAATGTCTTGTTTTGTGTATTTAATAACCACAGAAGTCTAGTCTGACCTGGCCTGACCTGTTCAAGTCAGGTCTGGCCTGTTTAAGTTTGATTTGATCTTATCCGTTTAAGTCTGGTATGAAACAGTACAAGTAAATACATCCTCACAAACTATTATTACTCATAAATGGCAACATCTCATGGGTTTGATTAAAACAGGGGAGCAAGGACAAGAGAAAGAATAGTTACGTTATGAGTGCTAATTATTAATCACAATTGAATTAATGCAAAGGGCTAGCTAATTCATGTTAAGATGTAATTAATTCAGTCATTAAATAAGAATTAGGCGCGCGACATATGATATAACCGGTTAATTGTATTAAGGTGGTGTTTGGGCAATTATGTTGAATGATCATGTCTTCCGTTGCGACTCACCTATCTTGACGTTGACATTTTGGAAACCAAATGCACAGCATCAGCCAATATAATTGGTGAGGTCGGATCGGGTCGGGTCGGAAAGTGAGAATCTCTTCGAACCCCAAATACTTTTGTGCACAACTCTCTCTAGCTAGCTAATATGAGATAACCTTTAAAGCCCCCCTTCTGATATGTCCCATTCTTTCTTTTGGATACTTTGTTGATAAGTCACCTTCTGAGAGCATTCTTTTCCACTTAAAGCCTAACCAGGAAAACAAAGATAAAGGAGCATACATCGACAACTCTCTTTATCCATCTTGTTTCTCCCTTTGATTATTTAATCTAGTTGATACCCTACTTTTCTCCCATTCTGTCTTTATTCGAATCGGAATACAATGAAAGAAAAATGCTACACATTTTGGCGTACACATTTTGTACATTCATCCGTCTCATGCACAAAGACTTGTTTGTCCATAGACAATTCTGTAAAATTGTCTGTGAACAGACAAATTTTTGTGCATGAGACAGACGATTGTACAATAGAATAAAACATTTATAAGAGAGATCGTAGATTCGAGTTTCATCTTAATCAAGAATGTTGACATTATTATTATTAGCAAATACTATAATAGGTTTAAAAGGATATTCTAAAAAAATGCATCTCTACTCTACAACTATAACTAAAGAGTTCATGAAAAAACACACTAGTGTATGATATGACTAAAAGTAATTGCATTCTACTACATTCACTGGAATGGTTGAATCGGCTTAATGTGCCGATGTTGATGAACATATGGTTGAAACTTGAAACGATTAAATTAATTGACTGAATCTGTTGAATTATGGAGAAATTATATTTCAAATACATTTTGTTAATAAAATAAACAAAAAAATTATCTGAAAATAACTAAAATGATCATCAACAATAATTCATTAATTCGGTCTAGAAAATAACTCTAGCATTACTTTTTTTATTGCACATGCAATTCAGTCCGCAAAACCAAAGATTACGTGTTTTCTAAAAATATTAGGAAGCAACTGATAAACCTGATAACCTTATAATAAGGATTACGAATACCAATTCACATCCATCAAAATTTTGAGTAGGTTTTGCCGTTTTTTGCCCATTTGTTTGGAAGTTCATCCTTCAGCTAGGATATTCGATTGAAAGTCCATTCCGAGTGGCGTTGAACGACTTGAACCGTTGAGCTGGTTTTGTGTGTGTGTAGAAGTCTAGTCCCACACGTACTCCGGTTTAAGGGGAGAAAGTACTCCAATTTGCAAGTGAACATGCCGTTACGTTTTAACTATTCGAATTGAAGAAAACGTTCATACATTGAAAACTAAGAGTTAAAACCTTGATTAAAATATGGTGTAAGTATAAAAGTAAGACCGTGATTTTCACCCCCATTTAAAATAAAAGTGAGAGTGAATGTCAAAATACTCCATTTAATTTTTTATTTTTAAGTTTTGTAATAATTAAAAAATTTGAACTTTTTATTTTAATGTTTTTAAATTTTAATTTTTCTATTTTTACTTTTTTTTAAAAAATTATTTTAATTTTTTAAAAAAGATTTTGGCACATTACGCCGTTTTTGTCCATTCACGCAAGAGAACAATGAGGGCTAGTTCGGCCATTACCTCCAAAATACTTCAATTTGAAGGGTTGGGAATGAGAGGAAGCCACCTGCATACGTAAATCAGTTGATTGAGTGGTGGAAAAATTTGAACATTAACTAAGAATCGAAATCCACAACGACCATGTGCTAGACAGGACATCTGGTGTCACAAATACAAGAACTACTACTATTTTACTGATTGAGTCGGCGTGAATTACAACTCGTAAATACCTTGTTGGGTCGGGAGCGTAAGGGCCCTTGAAAGTAACAT